CGCTGCTTGCGGGACGTGGCTCCCGCCGCTCTGGCCGAGGGTCGGGGCCGCGTGGCACGGGCGCACGCCTGCGTGGACGAGCTGCTGGATTTGGTCCTGCGAGCCGTGCCCCTGCCCTGGCTTGTGGGGCCCTTTGCACCGGTCCTGGTGGAGCGGCCCGAGCCCCTGGCAGACCTGGCTGCCTGCGTGGACGAGGTGGTGGGCGGCCCCGACCCGCGCTGGGTGCACATGGACTGGCCGGCCCAGCAGAGGGCCTGGGAGGCCGAGCACGCAGACTCGCGGGAACAGGCCGAACCCCCGAGTGGCCCGCCCAGGAACAGACTGATGCCAGAGCTGGACTTCTGACCAATGAGGCCCCTGCTGCCCCCTGGTGGTTATGTGACCGCACTTATCCCGACAGGCAGTGGACTCCACGGAGGCCACTCTCCCTCTCCTGTGATCCTGTCCCCACCTTCAAAGTTGGCACACAGCTGTCACGCCAGCACTAGAAGCTGAGACAAAAGGATTGAGATTTGAGGCAAGCTTGAGCTATCTCCTTAGCAAGACTGTTAGAAAAATGCAGCTCTGGCTTCCGAGGAACACGTTGTGTCCTGGGACATCAGTGTGTGTGTTGGGGGGTGGGGGGATGTGTCCAGATGTCCATCCAGGCCTGCTGGGCCAGAGACCCACTTGCTTTGCTGTTTATGGTCCAGAATAAACATGTTTGCTGTGGTCTGAGGTGGGTCTTTTAACTCAGGTGCTGGGGTTTTTCAAGGTGTGACTTTTCGGGGTGTGGAGATGGAATTTCCAGCCAGTGTTCAGGGTCAACACATTTCTTAGTGAGCCGCACGGAGGAGCTTAGGTTAACTGTCGACTCCTCAGTACACCTAAGTGGAAGTCAATCATACTATAGTATAAATCACTTTTTGGACCCTCTTGGAAGCAGGAGAGGAAGTGTGTGTGTGACCAGGGGAGGGGAGGAGGGTTGCCAAGGAATGGCCTCTCTTCCCCCTCCTCCCTGGACCTGGCAGGCTACACTGGGGTAGAGTTGCGGGAAACAAAAGCAGGGCAAAGGCCGAGATGGTCCCGCAGGGCCCTCCTGGCTTCTCACCGCATTCTTGCCTGCCCCTCTGGCTCCTGGGTCAGGGCAGCCCCCGGCCTCCCTGAAACCCAGTCTGGATTGTGTTTCTGGACCTCACTTGCAGAAACCCCAGAGCTCACTAGTGCTCTCGGAACAGCACCCCCTCTCTGCCTACCTGCTAATGCCCATCTTGTCCAAAAGGAACACCCCCCACCCCCCCACCCCGTGCCCAAGGCAGCCTTCTCCAGGGAGCCTTGTGGATTGGGGGAGGGGCAGGTGCTAGCTGGAGACACAAGAGGGAGCTGGCTGCAATGGGGCCTGGGTGGGAGACCCAGGCCCTCAGGAGCAATAGCTGGGGGCACCCACTTCTTTCCAGAACTGTCACCCAACACAACCAAGGATCCAAGGAAATGGCCCAGAGGTGCCAGCCCCTCATCGCACCCCGCCTGGAACCCTTCCCCTCACTCAGTGCCAGAGTTAATTGCCTCATTGCTGAGGTCGGGATCCTTGTTCCTAGGGTACAAGTCTGGGACAGGACCCAGGGTGGGAGTGGTGGTCACTCTGCCCACTTGGCAGACACAAAGTTCAGGATCTGTCTGAGTCCTGCCCATAGGGCACACACTGCTTAGGCTGGGCCCACCACGGTTGGGTTCTTACCCCCAGGACGCTCCCTTCAGTAGGGGGACATGTCACTGCCCTCCTTAGGACACTCTTCCCTTGGAGACCTTGTTTCTACCTGATAATGCTAAGGTAGTGTGCACTAACTACTAATCATGTATGACCTCATTTTAAATGTATATGTACCTTTAATAGTCCCCATTTATAGACAAATGTTTCTTAAGTGTCTGATGTGTGCCAGGCACTGTGCTGGGTGCAGGAGATAAGCAGGATGACAGGTGAGGCTGTGTGGGAATCTAGAGGAAGGTGTAGCAGGCAGGGGCATGGACTGTGCAAAGGCCCTGGGGCAAGAAAGGGTCCTCCTGTGTTAGAGGAGGAGCCAGGAACACAGTGTGAGGACAGAGGCAAGGAAGACCACTGATGACTCTGGAAGGGGGAACTGAGCCCCAAAGGTGGTGCCTGATCAGGCGTTCCATCTCAGAAAAGTAGAGGCAGAGAGCACACAGTCCCTCAGGGAGCCCAGCTGGGCTGTTAGTCACTGGGCCTACATGCGGGCACCGTGGGCAGAGGTGACTTGGGCCGAGGTGGAGAGCAGGGAAAAGGTGCTGGGCCGGGTCCATATTGGCCCAGGAGGGCAGGCACATGACTGCCCCCCCCCCCACCCCGCCCAGTTCTCTGGCTGCCTGCCTGGGCCGGCCAAGCCTGCACCCTCCCAGACCCTATAAGGCCTGGAAACCAGGAGCTTAGGCACTGCCAGCAGCAGCCCTGCTCTGAGGGACCTTGCACGGTCCAGGTGAGTCTAGCTGCATCACTCAGCGACTGCCGCCTCCAGGTGGGTGAAGGGGGTTGCTTATGGGGCCCAGAGTGGGAACAGGGCAGGAGGGATCCCCACCATGTAACACTTTCTGCCCATTTCTAGTCCCACAGGTCACCATCATGTCAGCTTCAGGAGATGGGACCAGAGGTCCCCCCAAATCCAAAGGCAAGGTAAGAGAATAAAGAGGGAGCCCCACCAGGGACCCAGGAAAGGTGACCCCAGTGTCCACTCACGCTGCCTCCACCCACCCCATACAGACCCTGAGCAGTTTCTTCGGGTCTCTGCCTGGCTTCAGCTCTGCCCGGAACCTGGTGTCCCACACTCACAGCTCCACAAAGGATGTGGGATCAGTCACAGACCCTACAGGGACTCCTGTCCCCTCATCGCCAGGTGAGGGGCACAAGGGAGGTGGTAGGAATGGAGCAGCCATGCAGACTGCTCAGGAGAGACCTGTGGCAATCCTGCTGACCTTGTGTCTGCATTATCTCATTAGATGGGGAAGCTGAGGCACAGATACTGGGCAACATATGCCTCAGTCCCTCTGTTCTTTGCACTGGATACTTGGCTGGGTGTTGTGCTTGTCTGAGAGTGTCAAGGATAAAGACTCAGAGAGAGCCAGCAGCTGCCCTGGGGTCACACAGCATCCTAGGACTCAGCTGGGGTGCTTGCAGCAGGCCACCAGCTGACTTGAAGGCCACACAGCTGTGACAGGCTGCTGGGGGTCATGGTGCAGGCAGGAAGGCACCACTCACCAACTGCAGGCTCCATGGGCCCCAACGGTGCAGGGTGGGTGTCCAGCACAGAAAGTCCTCCCACAGCCCTGTGTCACAGCGGCCAGAGTCATCCTTGGCCGGGAGGGGGAAGGAGGCTAGGCCTGGCTCCTGCCTGTGGATGCCACCTCCTGCTGTCCCTGGCCTGAGGCTGGGACATTCCTGTCCTTTGGGGCCATGCCTGGAATTGCACAACAGCAACAGGCTCCAGCTGGAGGCCCGCCCCTCACTCCGAACTGGTTCTATTTCTGCAGTGACCACCGACCTGCAGCAGACGGCAAGGGGTGTGGCGGGGCTGCTCCAGTCTCAACAGGTGAGCAGGATTGGTAGGCTTTGAACAGGAAGGTCTAGGAGGCTCTAGCTCCTTCCGTGGAATGGGGATTCAAAGGACAAAGAGAAGGTGGTGCCCCTAGCACATTCTCTACCCTGGGCCCGTTTCTACATCTGGAAAAGGAGCACAAGATCTCAACAGTATCGTGGCTTGATGCTTAGCACTTAAATGTTAGCCCTCCCCTTCCCCCTCAAGAAGACAGGGGCTGTGCCCCACAAAACCACATAGCAGGTACTGAGAAACCCCACCCCAACTCCTGTGACTGCCTTAAAGCACCAACTAGGCCAGAAATGGTGGGACTGCACCCTGTAGATTCAATCAAAATATGTCCCTGGTAGCCAAGGCCTCTGTTGGCAACAATTAAGAACCCACTGAATCTTTCTTTCATCCACTATCCTGACCTTGAAGGAAGTGGATTTTTGTATCTGAAATGGTCTTGTGGAGCCCAGGCTAGCTGGTACCTCATTCTGCAGCTGAGGCTGACCTTGAGCACCCGACCTCACTCCCTCAGCCTTCCAAAGGTTGGATTGAAGGGTGTGTCCTCTGTCAGCCCCAGCAGGCAGCAGTGTATTTTCTAGGGGAGTGCAGGCTAGTGGGGAGGTAAGACACCATGTGTGCCTTCCATCACACAAGTGCAGGAAGCACTGGGGACTCAAGCCCAGGCCACTAACAATGCTAGGTGAGCACTGGGCTAACTGGGTCATACTGTGGGTTGCATGCTGGGCTGGGCCTCCACCCTCTCTTGTTGGGACAGCTACAGTGTCTCCAGGGGTGCTCAGAGTCCCCTAGGCTGCTCAGTAGCAGCGTATTGCTGACATACCAGCAAGTCCTCCGACATAGTTAATTTTGGGTTTACATGAGACTGGTATCAAACAGCAGCAAAGTGACAACAAAGTGGCCTCTGAGCCGTGGGTCCATGGAGATGGTGTCCAGAGGACACTGATAGGGTCTCTGTCAACCTGCATTTTAGTTATTTGAGACAAGGTCTCATAGTGTAGTCAGGCAGCCCTTGAGTCTTCTGGCCTCAGCTTCTTACGTGGCAGGATCACCTGCCCAACTGAAAAGTTTCTTTATAGCAAGTCCCCAGACATGACTTTGCAGCTGGATGACAGTGGGATGTTTGGCTAAGATAGGTGGGAAGTCCCAGGAACCTGCACAGAGGGTGTGGACAGCAGTTACCCTAAAGGGTCTTTTGTGAAGTGTTGACCTGTGTCCTTTCTCATTAGACCACGACTGGGAACAAGGATGTGGGAAGCTCCAGTGTGACTGGTGAGAAAGACGCCTTCTCCTCTGGAGTGGCTGGCATCATAGACATGGCAAAAGGAATAGTCCAGGGTGGCCTGGGCGCCACCCAGTCAGCCCTTGTGGGCACTAAGGAGGCAGTGTCCGGAGGCATGACAGAAGCAGTAGGAATGGCCAAAGGTCTTGTCCAGGGAGGTCTGGACACCTCAAAGACTGTCCTCAGCACCACCAGGGACACAGTGACCACAGGACTCACTGGGACTGCAAACATGGCCAAGGGAACAGTACAGATGGGCCTGGACACCACCAAGTCTGTGGTCATAGGCACCAAGGACACGGTGACCACAGGACTCACAGGGGCTGTGAACATGGCCAAAGGGACAGTACAGACGGGTCTGGACACCAGCAAGAATGTGCTGATAGGCACCAAGGACACGGTGACCACAGGACTCACAGGTGCCATTAATGTGGCCAAAGGGGCTGCCCAGGGAGGCCTGGACACTACCAAGTCTGTGGTCATGGGCACCAAGGACACGGTGACCACAGGACTCACAGGGGCTGTGAACGTGGCCAAAGGGGCTGCCCAGGGAGGCCTGGACACAGCCAAGTCTGTGGTCATAGGCACCAAAGACACAGTGACCACAGGACTCACAGGGGCAGTGAACGTGGCCAAAGAGACAGTACAGACGGGACTGGACACCAGCAAGAGTGTGCTGACGGGCACCAAGGACACGGTGACCACAGGACTCACAGGTGCCATTAATGTGGCCAAAGGGGCTGCCCAGGGAGGCCTGGATACAGCCAAGTCTGTGGTCATGGGCACCAAAGACACGGTGACCACAGGACTCACAGGGGCCTTGAATGTGGCCAAAGTGGCTACCCAGGGAGGCCTGGACACAGCCAAGTCTGTGATCATGGGCACCAAGGACACGGTGACCACAGGACTCACAGGGGCTGTGAACGTGGCCAAAGGGACAGTACAGACGGGTCTGGACACCAGCAAGAATGTGCTGATGGGCACCAAGGACACGGTGACCACAGGTCTCACAGGTGCCATTAATGTGGCCAAAGGGGCTGCACAGGGAGGCCTGGACACCACCAAGTCTGTGGTCATGGGCACCAAGGACACGGTGACCACAGGACTCACAGGGGCTGTGAACGTGGCCAAAGGGGCTGCCCAGGGAGGCCTGGACACAGCCAAGTCTGTGGTCATGGGCACCAAGGACACGGTGACCACAGGTCTCACAGGTGCCGTGAACGTGGCCAAAGGGACAGTACAGACGGGTCTGGACACCAGCAAGAGTGTGCTGATGGGCACCAAGGACACAGTGACCACAGGACTCACAGGCGCCATTAATGTGGCCAAAGGGGCTGCCCAGGGAGGCCTGGACACAGCCAAGTCTGTGGTCATGGGCACCAAGGACACGGTGACCACAGGACTCACAGGGGCTGTGAACATGGCCAAAGGGACAGTACAGATGGGTCTGGACACCAGCAAGAGTGTGCTGATGGGCACCAAGGGCACGGTGACCACAGGTCTCACAGGCACCATTAATGTGGCCAAAGGGGCTGTCCAGGGAGGCCTGGACACTACCAAGTCTGTGGTCATGGGCACCAAGGACACGGTGACCACAGGACTCACAGGGGCTGTGAACGTGGCCAAAGGGGCTGCCCAGGGAGGCCTGGACACTACCAAGTCTGTGGTCATGGGCACCAAGGACACGGTGACCACAGGTCTCACAGGGGCTGTGAACATGGCCAAAGGGACAGTGCAGATGGGCCTGAACACCAGCAAGAGTGTGCTGACGGGCACAAAGGACACCTTTTGTGCTGGGGTCACAGGTGCCATTAATGTGGCCAAAGGGGCTGCCCAGGGGGGCCTAGACACTTCTAAAGCAGCCCTTACAGGCACCAAGACTACAATGTTGGCTGGCCTCTCAGGCACCATGAATATGGCCACTGAGACAATGAAGACAGGCCTGGACACCAGCAATAGCATGCTCACAGGTACAAAGGACACTGTCTGTGCTGGGATCACTGGGGCCATGAACATGGCCAAAGGTGTCTTTCAGAAGGGCCTGGACACACCCAAGGACACATGGTCTGCCATGCGGTCTCAGGCAGATAATGTAGCCATCAACACCACCCACACAGGTGTCAACACAGTCCCATGTTCAGACTATGGCTCTCATGCCACCACCCATGGTGTGGAACATGTTACCCTGACTTCTGCAGAATCTCTGTGCTCTGAGATGAGCAGCCTTGCAGACACCCGTGGCTTGGGGCTTGTCACAGAACCCATAGCTGCCACCAAAGGCCTTGTGTCTAGTGTGGCTTCATCTGTCCATGCAGCTACCAAGTCTGAGGAGGAGTGTGGTCAGCTGGCTGCGACAAGTTTTGCTGCACTTCATGATGAGTTGGAAGGGCTTGGGGACATCTTCCAGCCCATGACAGCTGAGGAACAAGGTGAGTTGCCTGTCCGTCCCCATCGCAGGTCCCCAGCCCCAGTGTGGGTGCCTCAAGAGACCTCTCAGACTAAGTCCTACTGCCTTCCTTCCAGCCCAGCTGGCGGCCTCAGAGTCAGGGCCTCGGGTGCTCTCTGCTGACCAGGGAAGCTACTTTGTCCGCCTAGGTGACCTGGCACCCAGTTTCCGCCAGCGGGCTTTTGAACATGCCCTGAGCCACATACAGCACAAGCAGTTCCAAGCCAGAGCTACAGTGGCCCAACTCCAGGAGGCCTTCCAGGTGGTAAGAGCATCTCTGGTTCCCACCCTGTGTACCTCCAACTGTTCACAGGTCAAGTGCCTAATGGGCTAAGCTACCTACATGCAGAGGGAGCTGGGGCATGCTTGTACTAGCCTTATCTAGTGAGCTGGGTGTGTGACTGTGAACCCAAGGCAGAGAGAGGGTGGTGAGGGTGACAGGGCCCTAGCAAGGGTTCTTCACCCGTAGTCCTGTCTCCAGGCTTCTGCTGGGCATTATGGACACACAGGCCTGGTATTCTGGGTGCTGGGTGGCATTCCTGTCATCTGCCCACCCCTTCCTGGTCATGAAATCCCTCTCTCCTAACTGGACACTAGAAATATGGGAGGGACAGATCAGGCATGGTGGGGTATACAGTGGTAGATCCTGGGGGACAGAAGGGAACCTCTGTGGACATGCAAAGGGAACAGTGGGGTAGGAGATGAGTGGACACAGAGGGACCAGCACTTGGCCTTCCAGATGCCCTCAGGTAGAATTTGTGTTTTGGCCGTACCATGTATGAAGAGGTTTAGACTCAAGATCTAGGGACAGCACTGAGTGTTCCTACCTCCACCAGAGCCACCACCTCTCCTGTGGCTCTCTTTCCAGACAGACATGACCATGGAGGCTCCAGGTGGGCAGGTGTGCGGGAACCAGAGTTTGAGCTCCACGGCGGAGGCTGTTGGTACCCATGAGGTGTGTGTGGCATGGGCCCCTCCCCAGCACCTAGCACATGACCCACCCCTGCTTACCTTGTTCTTCCTCTGCAGGTGTATGCTTCCAGGGCTCAGGACAGGCTGTGTACACTAGCCTGCCAGCTCCATGCAGCTTACAGCGGCCTGGCAGTCAGTCTGCAGGGCCTGCCAGAGGTGCAGCAGCAGGCAGGGCTGGCACGGCACAGCCTCTGCAAACTGTATGGTCTTGTGTCCTCTGAGAGCAGCGGCGAGCTGCAGGCAGAGCAGCTGGCCCAGAGCAGTGCTGGTGTGGTACAGGCATGGCAAGGTCTGGAGGTGCTGCTGGACAGGCTGCAGCAGAGCCCCCCACTCAGCTGGCTGGTAGGACCATTTGCTTTGATGCCTGGTGACCAGCTATAGACACCTGAGGGCTGCATGACCCCAAAGTTCTGGATTAAGGGAGAGCAGAGGGTCCTCAGAAAGTGAATTTGAAACCAGTCATGGCTCCTCCTATTTCCAGTAACTGATAGCCCCTCTTCCAGCCACCAAGTCGGGACCAGACACACAGGTCCCGACAACAGAGCAAAGCGGAAGCAGAGTCAAACCTAGGAGGTCCTTCAGTTATCGTCACTGACAAGCCTTCCAGCCTCTGGGACCCTACCTCCAGGGGCCCACAGCTCTCTACTGTGGGTGGTGCCACTCAACCCCAGGTCCCACCTTGAGCAGTGTATCCAAAGGTCTTAGCTAACATACTAGGCAACTTGTTCCCCAGCACTAGAACGCACTAGAATGCACAGCCACCCTAAGGCAAGCTCCCACAACCCCTTCTAATATATAGTGGGGTGTAGAGCCACTCAAAGCCACACTTATATCCCAGCATGCTGTGGGCCTGACTCTGAACGGCTCTATTGGGAAAGGAGGGTCACACATGTATCACTACACAGAGACAGGTACCACTTGACAGGGCCGTCACTGCTGAAACTGTGGTCTGCATGAGGATATGCCTGCCTAGGGTTGAAGTACTGACTGGAGACACGGGCAGGTGATAGCCCTTCTCTCTCGTCCTGTGCATCCAAGACAAAAGCACAGAAGATGATGGGGTACAAGGCAATCCCCTGTGGACCGGCCATCCAAGGCCACAGTCCAGCTCTACCTGAACCCCAGCAATGCTAGCAATCCCCAATCTTCCAGTTCCCTTTTTTGTGCACTCTTAGAAAGCAACAATGTCCTTGAGTTCTAAGGTTGGGCTAGCTGTGGCCTAGGAGAGGACATGGCGGAGAGGCCGTGACGGAGAGGACAGGAGCCTTCCTGAGCATCAGGATGCAACACTAGACTTAGCCAGTGACCAACACTGGGTCCAGGGTCTGCAGCTATGCCCTCTAGATGAGCCTCACTACATCATGCTCAGTTCTTGGTGGCCATGGAGGCAGGTGGATACACTGAGAGGCATGTACCCTACCTGAGCCCACAGGAAACACAAGCAGAGCAGAAAAGCCACATAGCAAGAGAAGGTTGGGATGGTGTGGACTGCAACACTCCAGCTCAAATGCTGAGCTGCTCCAGAGGCACTATGCTGGGATCCCTGCACAGCTGGGGAATGGGATGGTGGTCGAGTCAGGGCACAGTCTCCTGTTGGCCTTAGTGTCCTTAGTGTCTGTTACTCTCATGCTGGTGGAACAGGCTACTCAATGCAGGCTGGTACCTCAGCCCTGTGTCAGGCATAGAGCTCTGGCCTTAGCCCAGCTACATTTCATATCAGGACACCAAGCCAATAAAAGCTGTTTCTTTTTCATTACAAAACCCTTTATAACCATTTCATGTCAATCGAAATCACAGAACTAGGCAGAAAGGCCTAGGCCACAAATACAAACAGCGCAGCACTTCCCTGGGAGGCTGGGGACGGACATGACACCATGGCCATGGCAGTTGGAGCTCAGCTGTCCTCCTCATCATCATCGGCAGACTCGGAGGCCAGCTGCACCCTCTCATGCTCCTGATGCTCACTTCCAGGCCTGGCGGGGTCAGAGCTCTCCCGTGGGCTGCTGAGGGCACAGTAAAGGTTGATCAGGATGCAGTTACCTGGTGTTACCACAGAGTCATTGGATGAGTGGGCAGTCAAAAAAGGGTAATGCCCTTGCTGTTGGCATAAGTGCCTGGTGTGGCCTTCCTGACCTTCCTCAGGCCAACTGTAGTTCAGTCCAGTGGCTGGTGCTCATGGTGGCTACCTGCGCCACCCCTGGACAGTCATCAGGAAGCCCTTCCCACAGCACCAGTAGCTGGAAGCCTGGGGTAGCGTGATGTGGGCCACAATCAGTATGTTGGCCAGCCCAGCATATGGCAGGGGTGGGGAGAGGGCTCCAGCATGCAGGGAATGTGCCTGATGCCCAAGAAACACTCACTCATGCAGCTCTTCTGAGGAGCCGCCCCGCGGGCCGTCCTCTGAGTCCTGCCCATCTTCCTGTGCTCTGTCTTCTGTGCTTTCCCCTTTCTGTGATGTGGCCTCCCCGTTCACAGGTGCTGAGAGATCTAAGGTAACAAACAGGGTAACCATAAGCACACTGCTTGCCTCTCATCAGGACCCTCCTTGCCCAGTTGCAGTCGGGCTTACAAGCAGTGCAGTACATGTAGGTGCTGTGGCCTACAGAGCACTGCCAACATCCAACTGTTGGCACCCAGTGGAGTTGGCATACCTTATGCCAGCTATCACAGAATATGGTTGGGTCTAATAAGCTTACTGGGGGCGAACATGGCACAGTTCCTGCCTATCCCTCTGGCCAGGTGCAGGCAGCCCTCACCGGCATTGGGCTCATCCTCCACCAGCTCTCTGGGAGCCTGCTCCCCAGGCTGCTCTTCCACCTTCTCGCTGTCAGCCCGTTCCTTCTCGGCTCCAGCCTTGTTCACCTTCTGGAGAGCCTCAACCTTTGGCCCCAGGACCCGAGACTTGAGCCGGGTGTAGACCTCTGCTGCCTTCGCCATCACATCCTTGTTGGCTTTGTACCGGCGAATCTGGTCACCAGGAGGTCAATCTTAGTTGGGTTTCTGGCTGTGCCTCTAAATCCTCCCACTGGACACCAATACCACCTTCCAGGTACTCTGTTCTGGTGCCCCATGCCATACCTTCTTCAGTGTGGCTACCACATCGGTGTTCTTCTGAAGGATCTGAGAGGTCACCTGCAGGGTCCCCAGCTCTTCCAGTGCACTCAGACACCTCCTCACATCCTGCAGAGCAGGAAGAGTGGGGAGGCATCTCTGGCTGTCTCCTAGGGTGCTGCCTGCTGTCCCCAGGGGAGATTGCAGGGTATGGGAGTGGGGGTGAGGTCTCCTGGGCCACTATGAACCACTCCCCCACCTGGGGGACCCTGCCTCAGTTTCCCAAGACTTCTAAGAAGCTTGAAAGGAGGTGGCTAAGGAAAGCACCCATCTCAGGACAGCATGAGGTTGTGACTCTGTGGCTGTGCAGCAGGCATCTTACTGGGTTGTCGACCTTCAGTGCAAATTTGATCTCGCTGTGCAGCTTCTGCAGTCTCTCCTCTACGGAAGGTTCTGGGCAGGAGAGATGCTGGCTTGCACAGGGTGCTCTGGCCCTGGCTACAAGGTGGCCCAGCACCTCCCACCACCACAGGCCCACACTAGAGCCTTGGAATCCTGCACCGCACTAGTGCTCACCTTTCTTCTTCTCCCCCTTCCTGTCCAGTGAGACGCCCTCTGACCGCTTCCGTGTCCGCTCCACCTTCACAGGCCTATGGAGAGGCTCCCATCAGATAGGCCACCTCAGGAGGCCCAAGGTGAGGACAGACAGCCAGGCCAGGAGCCTAGGACCCTTCTCTGCTTCTATGAACCAGGCTAACCATGAGAAGCCCAGTGAGCATATCACATCTTGTGCTGCGTGGCCATCACGCCACACTGCTGATCCCCATGGGCAGCGCTGATCAGCAATAGTTGAGACACTTAGAAAGCACCTTTCAGAGTTAAAGCCACTGTGCTGGGCATGGTGTCCCCTGGGCGCTGTGGACACTGGTTGAATGGCTCTTTAGGTCCTGGGCCCTGCAGGGTGCTGGGCAGTGTTGCTGGCCTCTACCCTCTATAGGCCTGCAGCTCCTTGTCAGTCACACATGGCTCCAGGGGAGACGTGTACCCAAGAGCTGGAACCCTCGATGAATGCGGCTTCAAGGTTGAACTCAACAGCAAGGCTGAGGGGAGAGGGACTAAGTCCAGGGCTCAGGACAGGTGCTAACCTGGCTCGTGGCTTCTCATCTGGCCGCCCTCTCTTCTCCTTCTGCCCAGACTTCCTTGCAGATTCTGAGCTTGGCAGTTGGGACTTCTTGGCCAACTTCTTCCCCTACAGCAGCCAGAGGACAGGGTTGCTGCTTTAGGAGCAGCCTGTCCCACCCCCACCCAGCACATGTGGACTATGGCTTCCCCGGTCTTATATAAACGTGTGGAATCCAGTGCTCCATTTTACAGGCAAGCCTTATACTTGAATGGCTATCTCTATCTTCTATGGCTAGGGCCCTGGGCTCTGTGTTACTGCCATATCTCCAAGACCCAGGATGAGCCCCAATACCCAATAGGTGCTCAATAAAGGAGTGGAGTTCAGGGCCAGTGCCTGGGGCCTCACATCAAGAGGAGGCACCACATACCTCTTTCCCAATCTCCCCCTCGGGTTCTGAGTCAGAGGAGGATGGTGTAGCCCGACCCCGGGCCTTGCGGCTGCGTTTCTTCATAGGCTCGTCATCCTCCAGCTCTTCCCCACTGCTGCCCCCACGTTCTGCTCGCTCCTTGCGGCGCTCCTTTTCCTCCCTTTCCTGTTCTCGAAGTCGCCGGAGTTCCTCCTCTTGCTCCCGTCGCCTCCTCGCCTCCAGCTCACGCCTCCGTTCCTCATCTCGCCGCTTCCACTCACTGATGCGGTCCACCTCACCACTGTCACTGTCACTAGGGTGGAAAGTCCATCAGCAGGGACCCCAGCATACCCTGCAGCCCCCACATCACCAGCAGATACCCACCTGTCACTGCTGGACGTGGAAGGTGGCCGTTCTGGCTTTGGTCTCCGCCCTCGGGGCTTGGGGGGTGGCTTCTCAGCTGCGAAAAATGAGGGGTGACCTTCTCTCCATGGCCTCACAGGGCTGCATTGAGGCTGGCTCAGGCCTTACCTGGCTTTCTGCCTCGAGGGGGTTTTTTGACAGATACATCTGAGTCGGAGGAGGAAGATGAAGAGGACGAGGAGGAGGATGGGGATGGCCGTGCTGCAGCCACAGGTTCCTCCTTGGCCCCATCTGAGTCGGCTTTGGAGTCTGAATCCGAGGCTGAAGGCACCTTCTGGGAACAGGCAGAGCCAGAGGGGAATCGCATAGGGTGAGAGTTAAGGGGGCAGAGGCAGCTCCAGTCGTCAAAGGACACAGTCTGTGCCTCACCCACAGCAGGAACATGGGTCCTGGACACCCTGGATAGCTCCTGGGAACATGATCATGGCCAAGCCCAGGGGCTTTCAACTGCAGGTGCGTACCGAAAACCTGCATAGGCCAGCCCTGCCTCCTACTGTCCAGCTGTCCTTCCACAGCATGCATGCCACAGTACAACATGCAACATCCACATTACACACACGACCACAGATACACGAACATACATGGCCACAGATACACGAACACACCTGTACATGCACGTGCAACCTTGTGAACCCAAGTCCTCACACCCCCACATGCACATAGCACATGTGAACTTTGATGCCACAACATTCTGGCACACAGACCTGGTTTTTTAATACTGGTAGTAGGATCCCCTGAGAGGAGCAGCAATGACCTGCAGGCCCCAGGGGCATCACTGCATACCTGGGTCCCAGGGGCCACTGCCATAGATGGTCCCTCAGGCTGCTAATGACTTCTTAGGACCTAGGCACAGCACCCTTACCTTCTTCTTGCGTCCTCCTGGAGGACCCCGCCGTGGTGCCCGGACCACTGTCTTCTTCTCTGGGGTAAAGTCCTGGGTGAAGAGACAGAAACGTCAGGGGTACTGGTTGGCATGCCAGGCTGTCCTATTGACTATTTTCCACTCACCTGGTCGCTGGTCTTCTCTGACTCAGATGGGCTCTCAGAATCCTCTTCCGATGGGGACACGCTGGCCTGATCCAGGTCACTGGAGGCTTTCCGAGCTCGTTTAGAGACTGACATCTGGAAGGCAGGGCCAGGTTGGGTCAGCAGCTGGACAGTCCTGGTTCCAGATGGGACCCTCCTATGTGCCTTGGTGCTCCTGAATTCTGGGATGGTGATGCGAGCCACATACAGAGACACACATATTGCAGTATTGCAGGTCCCACTCCTAGGAGCTCCTTATCCCTTCAGTTATCAGAACCAGAGAGAGGAAGTGTGTGTGTGTGTGTGTGTGTGTGTAACAGTGGGTTTCAGGGGCTTGGGGAGGACAGTGTCTGATGAGGCTGGATAGATACAAGTTCTGTATCGAAAGGAAAATCTCTCTCTCTCTCTCTCACACACACACACACGCACACACACAGAGTGGTGGAGAGGGCAGACCCTCTGTAGGAACTGTGGGGGAGGCAGTGCAGCTCACTGTGGCCGAGAAAAGTACGCCAAACCCAAGGACCTGAGTCCATCCCTTGCACCCATACAGAAATGCCCCATCTCTGGCTGGAGCAGGAGCTCCATGGTTAGAGCACCAGCTGCTCTCACAGAGGCCCCCAAGCTTGGTCACCAGCAACCACATGGAGGCTCACAACCATCTGTAATCCAGTCCTAGACACCGCTAGACTCCACAGGCACCTGCATG